CATCTGAGGTCCTCTGAGGTCATGTCAATCCCGTGGCAGAAACAGAGAAACAAATAAAGACATAATTAGCGTAGCTGCTGTTCCAACCAAGTAAAATTAATTTGTTTAACCGAAGCTAAAGAATAATAATGTGCATTTGATCAGATATAACTGCAGTTATGAACCCCGAACGTTATCAGGAAGGTTATTTCAGCTATTTAATGTATTAGAGAAGATAGTGCCCATGTTGCTAGTCATTTCGTCTAGTTCATGTGTATTTATGGGTTTGAGATAAATCAGTTGAGATAAATCAGGCAGGTTATTTGTGAATCTGTCTTTGGTGGCTGGAACAATAGTTCTGCCCTGACGATAACGCGGAGCCATATAGTTAATATCAGTAATACGCAGCATGCACAATACAAGGAAATGGTCAGTAACATCATCACTTTGAGGTACGATATCTATATCAGTTAGATCGATTCCATGCGATATCATTAAATCTAGCGTATGATTAAAACGATGAGTGGGCCCGGTGACATTTTGCTTGACTCCAAAAGAGTTTATTAGGTCAGTAAACGCAAGTCCTAATGCATAATTTGTATTATCAACATGAATGTTAAAATCTCCGACAATTAGCGATTATAGAACAGTAACCACAGAATTCCTTCACCATCCTAGTTATGGCACATGATTATTGTGGTTACAAAAATGCATTAGACCTTAGACAATTTAATGTGAACTCTCTTTTAAAGTTTCATGTTAAATAAATCAAGAACAACACAAGCATTAAAAAAATCAAAAAAATTAAAATAATAACTCACAATAAATGCACATGGACTGTATGTGCAGTTATTATGATTACCATGTGCACATGTGCAATTATGATTAACGTACACATTATTGAATGAAACGTCTGATGAAACATAATTGGATATTCAGTTGTGACCAAGTATCATTTTTTACCAAAGGCTTTGAGAAGAGATTATATGGCAGTGTCTATCAAGACAAAACATTAAACTACTAGGCCAGAGATCCAGACCAAGATAACCGTTTTATGATCCTGTGTGATATGAACCATGTGATTAACAAAGTGCAGTAAAGACAGAAGCTGTAAAACTACAGTAAACAGACAGGCTTAGCAACCTTTATATTGAATAATTAAAAGTGAATATAGAATTAAGCTAGAGTTTTCAACAATTATGAAAAGCAGTAGTTCAGAATGTAATCATTTGGAAATACTGGCAATTCCAGTTGTGTCACCAACTCCAAGTCCAAAAAACAAAAACACTGAGTGGACAAACGAAACTTCCTAATGCTCACATAACCTCATAACCATTTTTTGCACAGAGGTTTATTAGTTAACAATAATTATCAACTCACACCTAGCTTGGGGCGTTTTATGTAGATTTAAGCTGTGATTAATTCTCAATAACTGTATTTTTACAGTATGTTCTGAGTGTGTTTGCGTATTTACTAGAGCTTAAACCAGTTTGTGTGCTGTTTCCACAGGTTTCACTGGGTGTGGTTCTGTTAAAACGCAAATAAAACACAACAAATACAATGAAAGGACCTTGCAAAACTCATTACATAATAATAATAATTCTAAACGTTAAGACAAAATCGTCATTTACCTATAAATATATATGTATCTATAAATTATATTGATCAATTAATAAATTGCATAAGGGTCAATAAGGTATTCCCGCTCCTCGTTGTGACAGTGAATGCCATGGAAAATTATAAGCATGTTAATCACAGTGATGAAATCTCATATGAACATTTGTATGAGTCATATTTCGTCATTGTCACATACAGTACAGCATTTTGCACAGTACAGCATGGCATTTCCAGCCAGTGACATTCAAAGAACTAAAACAGGGAGTAGACGACGACTGTGACATCTAGTTCAACGGTAACACACAGGGAGGGGTTTCCAGAATGGGAAGGGGGTGTGTGAGTGATTTTACACATCTAACAGAGAAGCCTTGATCCACCACAGCTCAAACAACCAGCTACAATACTAGCAGCTACAGAAAAAAATCAATGGTGTTACAACTGCATCATGATTGGCCTTCTTTAGTGAAAGTCAATGGGGGTTTTTGGGGTTCCACTGAATAAAGAAAGTCTTAGGGTTTTAAGGGGCGTCACCGTCCCACCTGTGGGACGTTTGGCGCTCTTTTTTGTTGTTGTCTTTTTTCTCTATCAAATCTTTTAGTAATCAATCTAATCATCATAAATCAAATATCATTTGAAAGCTTAGAAGCCCAAGATACATCCTGTGAAAATCATTTCGAAATCAGAGATTGCGTTACCATGGAAATGGTACTTTTAAAATCTTTTGGCGGTCTCCTCCCCCTTAGTGGGCAAATGGGGGGTGACAGTTAAGGGTTAAGTGTACTAAATAAAGCTTAAAACAAAGCTTTATTTTTAGTTTATTACATGTTTACCCTGATTTTGTCTGTTTAGGTTGGCCGCATGGGCTTAGACTTCCACTCTGGATGATGCTTTATTATTATCCAGGGATGATTGTTTAATAGCAATTACATAATGTTTGCTTTTGTTCGTGGAACAATGGTGTTATGACTGATGGTAATTTAATCCGATTAAGCCGTTTCATATTTTCTGCAGGCACTACAATGATGTTTATTTTAAATCAGATGACTTCGTTCAAGTGATCTTATTAGATGTACTGTCCATTTGGATTGGAATTCCTTCAGTCGCAATACAGAAAAAATAAAGAGGATTTTTCATATGAGTCATTTAATGTTATTTGTCAAATGCTGAACTGAAAAGACAAAATTACTGATTGTTTCAGTAACTTTCCCAACGTTACTGAAAAGCTGGTTTAAGTCTAGTTATTTAAGAATTTGTTTTACTGTATACTAACGCCCTCTAGAGGCTTTTTCTGGCTCTCAAATTTAGTTTTCAATTCATAAAATACTTGATTTTTTTTTTCATTGCCAAAGCATCAACACAAAAATAAACACAGTGACAAATAAAAATGTAATAAAAACATTGTGCCAGTAATATAATATAATATAATATAATATATTATTAAGACATGTTTGAAACCATAAAAAAAAAAAAACTGATATAAGCACAACTGTGACCATGCATTGATTAAATTCTGTTTTAATATATTAAGAATCTAAATGTTTTGTCTTCTGATAACAATGGAAATTTTTTGTTTTTACAATTTTTCTGCATAAACATAAGAAATGGCACATTCATGAACACAGTGTTTCTGGTTTTCCACTATGTCTCTCTTCATGTTCTTCAGTATAATGAACATGACCGCCGCTCTCAACAAAAGCTCCATTGTTTGGCAGGACGTGTTTGACTACCACGAGCGAGTGAGTAAAAACAGGGAGTCTGCTTTACCACACAGTCACACTGGTTGCATTCAAACGTGAAAAAGAGACGTGTGTGATTGTAACAGGAATGAGCCGCTTCTCTTCTAGCCCAGATCTAAGTACGTGGTGGAGGTTTGGAAGCAGGGCTGTTACCTGTGCAAGATGCGCCGGGTGACTAAAGCAGGGTTAAAGGTCATCCTGGCGGCCCCTTTCTACCTCGACCTGCCGATACCCACTCACAGCTGGGCCCGTTACTACAACATGCGGCCCTTAGCCTTCAGGGGTCAGAGCATAAGTGCAAAACACTAATAAATACTAGAGACTGCAGTGCTGTGTGTCAGTGTAGTGCTGATTTCTCTGTGAAAGTGTGTTGTGCTGTGAGAATCAAACAAACATGCATTGATAAGCATGACTTTATAAGTGGTATTTTAGTATTATTTATATACTATTCAAATATTTATTTATGTTTGTAGGTAATTTTCAGATTGTATTTAAATTAAATTAAATTTTAGTTCATTTTAAATTGATTTTAATTTTAAATGTCATTTTTATTAGCTTTTTTAAAAATATTCTGATTTAGCATTATTATTATTATTATTATTATTATAAATTTCAGTTTGAGTTTTAGTACTTCAATTTAAAGCTACACTATATAAAATGGCTTGCATCTTGCGAAAAGATCAAGCATGGGTGAATGACGTATGCATGCAACTTCCTGCAAAATCCTTCCCAGCAGCTCTAAAATAAATTATTATTCTAAATGATTATTATTATAGGTTTATCAGAGTGTATTTTGTGAAGTAAAGACATGGTTTGGACTGGTCATTAATAACATTTTGGTTTGTTTTTGTGTAATAAAAAAGTAACAATGTAGCTTTAAACTTATTTAGTTCAGTTATGTATTTATATTTCAATTTATTTCTGCTTTATTTCAATTCCCAAAAATTATTTTTAATAGTTTTAGTTTTATAACAACACTGGACTTTGTATGTTGGTATTGCATCAGCTAAGCATAAATATTATAGTCAATTAAAACTAAAACCATAAAAAAATGTTACTTAAATTAAACGTTAACTAAAATAAATAAATAAATACAAAACATAAAGATATTTTATTTCAGGCAACATTTCTCATTTAGTTTATCTCTATATGCTAAAATAACTGAAACTAAAACTGGGGGGAAAAAAAAAAAAATGTATAAAAAATATATGTTTATATGACATATAAAAAAAAAACTAATAAAAATTACAAAACACAACAAAAATACTAAACTTTAACTAAAATAAAAATATAAACTAATTTAAAATATTAAGGAAAACGAATAGTATCTCCATTCCAGAAGGTGTCAATCAAGAGTCGACTTTTTTATAGTGTGAGGTGAAACACAGTGTTATCAGACTGTACATGAGACAGAAGTAGGTTCTATCAGAAGATATGAAGCAAAATGAATCAATACAAGTTATTTAAAAGTCAGAACTGTGGGCTAGTGGTTAACCCGTTGAGCTCTGGTGCTCTTTTGGCATTTTTGAGTTTGAATCTAGCTTGCAACATTTTAAAAATCTCGTTCACACCTCTTATTCACATCATTTTCTTGTCCTCCCTTCACAATACTCCCAGTATTGCATTTATGCAGATGAATAAAGCAGAGCTGGTTGGTAAATCCCACAGGACACGGTTCTGGAGATCTGGAAGGGTGCAAAATACCAGGCTGAACTGAGCAGGATGACCCAGGCCGGGCACAGGGTCCTGCTCTCTGCCCCCTGGTACATCAACCACATCAGCTATACGGCCAGGACTGGCGCGAATCCTACGCAGTGCGGCCCCAGAATTTCTCCGGTGTGTGGAGCAGCATGCTATGCCGGGCTCAGACGCTCTCCAGCGCTTGCTCTTGTTGTATAATATTTAAAAATTCAATATAAAATATCAGTCCCTCAAAGCAAACAGGCGATAAATGAGAACTCATGATGACTTTTAAGTATTTTAAATAATGATTCATTTCTCACAGAATCAACCACTGCTTGATGTGGTTTGCTCTGCTGTTGTTTGTAGTGCAGTGCTGGTGTGTTTTCAGCGCATGTCTGTTGTGCTAGTTTAAATATGTGCGGTTTTTCTATGATTTAGGCACAGATGAGCAGAAGAAGTTGGTGATTGGTGGAGAGGTCGCCATGTGGGGTGAATATGCGGACGCCACCAATCTGACCCCACGCCTGTGGTATGACTAGATGAACAGTCCAGGGCTGCGTTTCCCCAAACCTTCTTAACGCTACATAAGAAGGTTTACCTTAAGCAACATCCTAAGGTATAGTTCGGGGAACACGCCTAGAACAGGTATACCTTTAGTTAAGATTGAACCTTTAGAGTCTTCGTAGCAAGCTAAGAGACAACGTTATCGGGAAACGCAGCCCAGATCAGAATGAATTAGCAGACTGTTGTAGGTCTTTATGATTTTGTGTGTTTGTGAAGGCCGAGAGCCTGTGCTGCAGCGGAGAGATTGTGGAGCAATGAAGAAAAAACCCTGAACACTGATCTGGCCTTCCCACGTCTGCAGGAGTTTCACTGTGAACTTGTAAGGTATTGGAAATATGTTATTATATGATATGAAATATGATATTATTCTTTATCAACTTCTGGTCTGTTCCAAGCACAGTGCACATACAAATGTATTAATAAAGATCTATTCAACAGTGATTTAGTTGTGTATTAGGTTACAAATATTTTAATAATAATAATAATATTTAAACACATTTAATGAAATCGCCTGCCACTGCGACACCGATCCCGTCTCACAGCCGTGCGGCAGCAGATCCTATTAACTCTGATGGGTTTATACACATAATATACAAAGGCACATCGGCTGGCAAACAATGAGGCAGCACATAATTAGGAGTCTATTTAAAGGGAATGAATGTGATGGGGAGTTTGGTCAAACTATGGTAGCGAGACAGCAAATAGTTGTCCTAAATCAAAGACGGCTTCGTCCGCGGAGCCAGTTAGTGTATGTGCATAAAAGTGTCAGAATAGCTACCATGTCAAAACATACAATTCTACAAAAATGTCGCCTGCCACGGGAGCAAATCCAGCAGCTTTTACATCTCTTTTAATAATAATAATAATATTTAAACACATTTAATGAAATCGCCTGCCACTGCGACACCGATCCCGTCTCACAGCCGTGCGGCAGCAGATCCTATTAACTCTGATGGGTTTATACACTGGATAAAGTAGGACACAGAGAGGCGTGAACGTCCAGATCTACACACTGCTGCTGTTAGAGTGAATGCAAAAAACAAGTGGAATCAGTGGTCTTTTAGTATTATTTATATAGCATTTAAAATATTTTATTATATTTTGGTTATATTTTTAACTTTAGTTCAGTTTTAGTAATATTGTTATTGGCTTTTGTAATTTTTATTTTATTTTTAGTATTTCTATCTAGCTTTAATTTTTTTTACTTTGGTTTTAATTTTAATAATTTTAGTAAAAAAAAAAAAAAAAGTACTTTTTAGTATTATTATAGTTATTATAGTGAATTTTGGGGTATTTAAAAATAATTTTAAATAAAATGATTCTCACTCATTACTAAAAAAATTAGTGCTGGGCAAATGATTAATTGCAATTAATCACATCCAAAGATTTTGTGCATAAAATATATGTGTGTACTGTGTATATTTATTATGCATACTGTATATACACATTTTAATTATTCATGTATGTATATATTGTATATAAATAATTATATATTATATAAATGTTTTTTTATTTTATAAAATGATTTCATATTTATATTATATGACATTATATTAAAATATTAAAGAAAAATAAAAAATAAAATCTAAAAATAAAGTTAAAATGTTATTTTAAAATGTAAAATGAAATCTTGTATGTTTGCTATTTATATTTTGTATAAAGACAACATCCACAGATGTAGCAACCTATTTATTTATTTATTTATTTCAGCAGCAGTTATTACTGTGGGTTCATTTTTTGTTTTCTCAGTTAATAGCAGCTTGATCTTTTTTTGATGATTCAGCAGCAAGTTGCACGGAATAAATAAGCCTCCCGATCCCTTGCTCAGCACTAACATGCTCTTTTAACTTAAGTCCTCCTAATGTTTAAATTACTTGCCAAAATGAGCTTACATGCCTTTGATATTTACTTAGACAATAGATTTTCTCATTGAGGGGATTATGCTGCTGCTAGCAGATGGCAGGGATTGGCTAATCCCAGAAGGCAGCGCTGCCGCCCTGTTCCCACCTGCCTGAATCCACACGACCAGACTGACCCCTGCATGACCTTTACTTTATTACGGATGCGGGACTATGATAGCCTGGAGTGACCTGGAACCATCCATCCATCCTACAGAATTGGATATTATGTACATATTGTCAGCAAAAGACTGTCTGCTAACATGTATTGCACGCAGGCGAAGAGATTTCCCGCCAAATCGTCCTCACTTGGCAAGCGACCTGCAGTTTCTCGGTCGGTTAATGAATATTCGGAAATCTAGTTAATAATCGTATTAGTTAATTACACAAGGCGTGTTGTTCTGTGTCAGTTTTCATAACAGTTGAATATGAGCGTGCGCAGCATATGTCCATCAATGTGTTTAATCCCAAACACAAAGATTAATCTCGATGAGTCACAGATTTATTAATCGCTAGCTTCCTTCCACCGTGCCAGGCATTAGGCCCTCTTCTGAATATGGTAAAGGGCCCTAATTAGATTTCAGAGCGTATTAGTTATTTTTTTCATGATTAGAGCCTATTATTGGCAACTGTATGCCATAAACCGTATACTGTAAGAAGGACAGCTGCATTGCTTCACTCTCTAACTGTACTAAAACTCATGCATAAGTACATGATGCAGAATGATTTTTTATAAACTCAAATAGAGCAAATGGCGGTTGTGGATTAAATACAGATATAAAAGTGTGTTAGATGTCTTTTGTTTCATAAGCTCGTATACAGAAGGATCTGTTTGCAGAGTTTGTTTTGTTGGAGACTCACATCGTCTAATTTGCTTTGCAAAAATGCCAAATTTATCCTGTTTTTATAATGATTAATTTTTAATTTTTTACTTAAAAAAAAAAAAAAAAAAAGTTTTTTTGTAGTTTTATTATTTTAATAGAATTTAAGCGCATCTTCTGCCATTTTCATTACTGTAATACCGAAAAATTCAAACAATCACTTTGCTATTAATATAATAATTTATATAATTTAAATATCTAATACTGCAATTATAAATATTATATTATTAGTTTACTGAATTTAATTTATTCTGCCTTCAATGTGTTACAGTAATGTAAAAATGTTTATACAGTAAAACAAATACACATTTCGTTTTAGAATCTAATCATAAATGTGATTATTAAGAGTTACAAAAACAACATGGATGGATGGATGGATGGATAAATAAATAAATATTTGGGGGGAAATTAGCTTAATTGCCATGATAAATAAATTAATAAAATAAATAAATAAGGCAATGATAATTTTTGGGGAAATTAGCTTAATTGCTAAAATAAATAAACAAATAAATATTAAATATAGAATCTAATCATAAATGTGATTATTAAGAGTTACAAAAACAACATGGATGGATGGATAAATAAATAAATAATATTTTGTGGGAATTAGCGTAATTGCCATGAAAGTAAATAAATAAATAAATAAATAAATAAGAATTTTGGGGGAAATTAGCTTAATTGCAATAAATGAATGAATGAATGAATTAATGAGAATTTTGGAGGAAACGAGCTTAATTGCCATAGATAGATAGATAGATAGATAGATAGATATTTTGTGTGAAATTAGTTTAATTGCCATGAAAGTAAGTATGAAAGTGAATGAATGAGTGAAAAATGAATGAATGAATGAATGAGAATTTTGGAGGAAACGAGCTTAATTGCCATAAAATAAATAAATAAAGACATAAAAATTAATTAGAAAGAAAATTAGCTTAATTGCCATGAAAGTAAGTAAACAAACAAATAAATAAATAAACAAACAAATAAATAAGAATTTTGGGGGAAATTAGCTTAATTGCCATAAATGAATGAATGAATGAAGGTGGCTTTAATTTATTTATTAAATGTAGAGATTTGTATTTGTTTTGGTGAAATGTGACCTTGTTTTGTGAGGTTCTCATATTAACCAGAAATGTGTGAGAAGTAAAGAAATGCTGTTTTGAATGTCGGGCTCAAGCACTGTGACTGTACTGCAATAAACACTTTACTGCAGTGAAATCCTAATCAAACATTAATGATAGAGGTAAACATGCACACTAATGTCTGTGATGCAGTCACCGTGTTGTTTCATCAGGCACACGTTGTTGCACGCTGTAAAAGTTAGCCGCACTCTTTGACAAGAGCTGACATTCAGAGAGATTATAGGCAAAGCGCCTTATGTGATGCACGGAGATGTGAACTTCTGTCGATACAGCTTCAAGGACGTTCAGATCAGCTGCAGAAAACACGCGGACTCCTTCTGCTGCACAGGTGCCTCTCACTCTGCTGGACATTCCCATCCGCATGATAAAAAAACACCAATCCATAAATAATCAAAAGCCTAAATAAATATATTGTGTATTCATTTATTTATTATATTGTTAATAATAATAACAAATAACAGTCAATTGTCATATATTTTCTACAATATTTTACAACATTTATTTTACATTAACAATTATTTTCCAAGTTTGCACAGTATTAAAATAAAACATTGTATTTTTTATTTGTATAGTTATGATGTTATATTTATAATAACTTTTTTGGATTTACAGTATGTATCATACATTTCTTTGAGTATCATGAATTTCTATGAGTGTCACGTAAACACCATGGTACATGGATATGGTAATCAATCAGTATCATATATATCAAAGGACCATGGTAAAGCATCAAATGCGTTTAAAATGTGCTCTGTAAGGTTTTCACAGTATTTTATTTTTAATTATTTTATTTTATTGTCTTTCTCTGTATGTCTTTATTGATTTTATGCTTCACCAACCAATAGTCAATTGTCATGTATATTAAGTGTTTTCTACAATATTTTACAATATTTTTACATTAATATTTCAACATATTTACACAGTATTATTATATTATATTAGGCCTATATTATATTTCTTTTTTATTAATTTATCTGTATTTATTTAAAATTTTGGCATTTTTATTATTTTATTTTTATTATTTTATTACGATAGCACTGTATAACTGATATAGGCTTGTGTTTTTTTGTTGTCGATGTTTTTTGTTTTTTTTCGAAATATTTCCAAACGTGCTACCTATATCAGGAAATATCTCCATTCTCAAATATGTGTAAGTAAATGCGTTTTGTACCTTTATAGATTATGTTATTTAATCAATAAATGGTGATGGGCAAAGTAGACTAGTGTAATCTATTAACTACACATACAAACTCGACATTTGACCAGATATGGGTGTCATGCCATAAAATATTTTTAATACGACTGACTTTGTGTTTAATGTGAATTTAATAACAATATTGTAAATTACTAATTATAACACTTTCATTTTACAGAACGCAAAGAACATTTACATTATC